AGATTTAAAGGGTGGGTGAGCGCCCGCGCTCAGAATGCTCCCGTGGGCCCGCCGTGGCTCCCTTCGGCGTCATCTCCTCCTCCTTCTCCTCCTCCTCCTCTTCCTCCTCCTTGGATGCTCGGTGCTGTGGCCCCGCTGTTGTGCTGTTGGGGATACAGTCAGAACTGAGGTCTCTCGCAGAGAGTAACTCAGTACACCCATCCTGCTGGCAGTCCCCATGGTTTTGGGGGGAAAATCTCCAAATTTGGGCTCCCCCATGATTTTCCTGTCAGGGTGAGCCAGGTGCTCCAGCAGCAGCATGGAGCCACAGTTTGGGGGGCTGCAGGCCTGGCTCCAGTGCCCTCCTGCCCGTTCCTACCCAGCCTTGCACATGCTTGTCTGCTTGCTGTGCATGTTGCATGTCCTGGCTCACAGTTACACACACTGGCATGCTCTGACAAACTTCTACATGTCCTTGGTCATATATGCATATTCTTGCATGCTCTGCCATGTTCCTGCATGTTCCTGCTCACAGTTACACACTCTGGAATGCTTCTGTATGTCCTTGCTCACATCTGCATGCTCTGCCATGATCTTGGTCATATGTCTACGCTCTGGCATGTTTCTACATGTCCTTGCTCACGTGTGCACTCTCTGCCATGCTTCCATATGTCCTTGCTCACTCTTGCACACTCTGGCATGTTCTGCATGTTCTTGCTCATATGTACATGTTCTGGCACTCTTGCATGTCCTTGATCGCACATGGATTCTCCAACACACCCCTTCATATCCTGCCTCACAAGTGCATGCTCTGGTGTGCTCCTGGTGTCCTTGCTGCCATGTACACCCTCTGGCATGCTCCTCCCTGTCCTTGCACGCTCCCAGTGCCAAGGCCCTGCCTGCGACACTCTGATTAGGGTGCAGACCTGGGGTGCGGCTCAGCCCGGTTGCCCCGATAACACTGCCTGAGGGTGCCTGGGGGGTCCCAAGGGATCCTGGGGGCCCACAGGTTGTCCTAGCTCATGAGCACACCAGGGTTTGGTGCACCCGGGGTTTCCCCCATCAGCCACAACCAAGAGTTCCCAGTGACTCCAGGGTGCTGGGGGGATCCTGGGTGTGCTGCTGGCTCTGGGGAGCCCCAACCCATCTCCTCACACCCCTCGGGGGCCCCAGC